TCATTTGTCCACAGAATAAAATTTAAGTATATTTTGAAAGAGTAGTTAAAATGTTTGATACAAATTTTTCTCACATTTGAGTGGGCCTCTTTATTACTTGTCTTGTTAAAATGCCTATGTGCTTTAGTAGGGTAGATAATACCTTTAAAAGATGCCCCNCAGCGACGGAGTTTCTCTGAATAATAGCCCTCTCTGATCTGGAACTGTCTCTGTAGATAAAGCTGGTCTCAAACTGCAGAGATCTTCCTGAGTGCTGTGATTAAAGGTGTGTTTCACCACTATGGGCAATAACTAACATTTATAATTACCAGGTGATATTAGTACCAACTTATCCATATGAGTTACATTAAGTTGAATAAGATTTTTTAGATGCCTGCACATCATTTTATCTTGACAGACTATACAGTAGCAACATTTTTTTGTTGTTCAAAATAGATTTTAAAGAAAATAGCTATTTTATTTTATTGAGACTGGACAGTTTTCCAATCTAATTCAGGCTGTCTTTGAATTTCCCAGGCTTCCATTGCAATCCAAAGGGCTAGGCTACAAGTGTGCAAATATGGTGATGTTTGAGAACAGTAGATAGCTATATACAATATGTTCTATTTGTGAACATTAAAATAAGCCTCCAAAATAGTGCCATAGGGCAGTATCTTCATCAGGCCCTGAGAATGTTTATTAAAAGTTTGATATTTGAGCTTTATGATTTTTTTCCCTATAAACTAATAGCAAATGTTGGTGTTTTCTTCACAGTAAAGTTTCAGATAATCTAACAGTAATTAATACCTGTAAGATAGAGAAAAATCAGTTTTGCCTGGCTGTGGTGGAGCACATCTTTAATTCTAGCAGATCTCTGTGAGTTCAAGGTCAGCCTTGTCTAGTTCCATAGCTACAATGAAACCCTGTCCTGAAAAACCAAAATGAATAAATAAATAAAATAAAGATAAGAAAAATAGTCTTGAGCCAAAACAAGTATTGTGTGTGTGTCTCTACCATGAAGAAAATAAATTAGCAAAAACATATAAATAGGCCTCCAATGTTTGTGAGACTTGTTTTCATCAAACTTTTGGTATCAATATCTGTGATTTCAGAATGGCTATGGATTTTTCTGGTTATAGTTCAGCTTTTTATTTACCACATACAATTTTAATATCTATATTTCAGAATGTGCCTTTTATTATTTTTTTTTCAATTTTTTTGTGCTTTTATTTTTGAGACAGGGTCTCACTCACCTTGGCTAGCCTGGAGCTCACTATGTAGATGTCTGGCCCTACTTGTTTTTAATTTGACTTTTGAGACAGTGTTTCTCTGGGTTGCCGTGGAATGCACTTTCTCTGTAGACCAGACTAGCCTTGAACCCTGGTGCACCCACCACTGCTTAGCTTCCTCTTTGGTTCTGTTCGTTTGGTTGGTTGGTTAGTTTTAAGTTTTAGTTTTTGAGACAGGGTTTCTCTGTATAACCTGACTGATAAGGCTTGCCCTAGCGATCTGCTTGCCTCTGCTTCTGCCTTCCAAATGCTGGGATTAAAGTCATGCACCACTGCCTAAGTGCGTCTTGAAGCAACCAAATTAGGAATAGTTGTAAATATCCATAGAAAAAAATAATTATAAAAAAGAGTGAAAAAACGCTACGTACTTACTAGTTGGATTGACGACATTTACATTCTTATACAGAATGGGAGTTAAATTGTGTAGTAGCCAAACTTTTTTTGTAAAGCAGAGTTTATGTTGATCATGGTGACCTTAAACTCACAGATCCTCTTGCCTCTGCTGGGATTAAAGGCCTACCTCACCACACACACAAACCCACTCCATTTTAAGTGTGTACTTTTTGTTTTCCGAGACAGGATCTCTCTGTGTAATAGCTGTCTTCAAACTCTAGACCAGGCTGACCTTGAACTTCTCTGCTTCCTGAATGCTGGGATTAAACAGGCTCCACCACTGCCTGACTTTTTTTTTTTTTTTTAAAGTGTGTACTTTTTAATTGGGATTGATTTTATTGAAGTCCTTTCTTCTTCCACATCCCCTTCTTCCCTCTGTCTCTCCCTGTCGTTATCTAGATTTGGTCTAGGCCCATTTGTGTAATCCATATTGTCCTCAATTTACCAAGAAACCAAGTCAAACAATATTCCATTTCTGTTTGATAACAAAAAGGAAAACTAGATTCCAACAGCTGAGGGTTTCGTTTCTGCCTTTAGTGTTCTAGTGTTGATAGATCCGCATTCAGTTAGAGATTGAAGTAATTAGTGAGAAAACATACTAAACTTTCAGATGAGTTTATTTCTAGGCAAGAATCTAAAGTATGGGCAAACTTGATTGAAAGGCAATTCAATATTTCTGTAGGAATTATGGTAGTGTTAATGTATGTGAGTAAAAGCAAATAATGATCATATGCAACTGTTAAGTATATATCTTGGATGCATGGTAATATACCTGGCCTCATTGACGAGGCCCTGATTAAGAGGCACTTTCAGGTTCAGGCTTCTCTCTTCACTAGGTAGTCACTATTGGATTGTCTCACCGCATTTTGTTGTTCATAGCACTGTCCTGTCGCCACATTCTGAATACTGGGGAAAAGAAATGCCCTATTGCAGAGACTGAGTACTCTTGGTGCTGATAATTCTTAGGTTAGCTTTCAGTGTTTCTAGACTCAATGTTATGGTTCAATGAAAAATACTGAATGACTTCTTGCCTACTTACCCACAAGTCCACCACATGCAGCAAATAACCCTCAACCCTATCAAAGATTGTTAGAAAAAGTATTGGTGGGCATTGTTTCTTGAATTTCTAGTTATCTAGTTCATGAATGTAGCAAACTTAAGTCCTGCCTGTTGTAATAACTCCATGTGAGTTACCTAGAAGATCTCTTTTCTGGCCATCCCTACAGCTTCTTGAGCCTTGTTCAAGTAATTTTCTTTCTTGGTAATAATTTTGTTAAGACAGGCTCACCTTGAAGTCTTCAATACTGCATCAGTTCCCAAGGCATGTTCCACCACAAACCAGCTTATTTCATTTTCTTCTCTTAGTTTCAAGAACAAAACACAAAAGAATTAACTTAGGTTCCATCTCCTTTTCATTAGTAATTCTAAGAAATTATTTACTATGTACCTTCCAAATGTCTCATTCATCCTGTTGGAAGTGTGTGTAATTCTCACTATTTCCACTGATGCCTCGTGGCAGCATGATTGGGATATGATAGCTTATTTTGACTCTAAACATTTGCAGTCCACCTGGTATTCACAGGTGTCAATGTTTAATCACCTTTGTGCTCCCCTAATGTCTGTCTTCGCACTGTCTCTTGGATAATGAATCATGGGTGTTCATATTCCTAGAAAGGAATATAGAAAACAGGAAAAGGGTCTGTAGTCCAGTTTGTGTGTCTTCTCCGACTGCCCAACCCCCAGACAAGGTTTCTCTTTTCTCTGTAGACCTGGTCTCTCAAACTCACCTGCCTCTGCCCTCCTGGGATTGACAGTGTGTACCACCACACTGGGCTTTGCACATAACTCATGCGAGTTTTATAACATGGGTGAACTATAATATTTTCTTTATTTCTATATACCAATTCTCCATGAACAAAATGTTATGTTGAGGTTGGCTCTACCAAAGGTTGCAGTTAGGATAATGAACGCGTTTTAGCCTGTCTTTGTTTAGCGCTTGTATTGTGCTTGCTGTGTGATCTCCACTATTTTCTGTATTCCTCCCATATAAATGTACTTTATTGGGGGAAAGACTAAGGGTAAGAAATTTATGGTATGAAGTATGTATGGTATGTCTCCTCCCAGCTGCCATTCTGCTGGTGTGAAAGATAAATATGAAAATTTTACACATGAAAATATATGAAATCTGTATTGAAGCAGGGTTGGGAGTGTTGGGAGAAAATAGAGATGGTTGCTCTGGTATTAGAACGAGGCATCTGGGAAATAAAACAATTAGACTCTGTGTAGCCCAGTTTGCCCTGTGATTTGTTAAGAAGCCAGTTTGACCTCAGCTTACTGACCTGCCCTCAACTCCTGAGTTGGATGACAGACATAACTTAACAATCGTCTTATAATTACATAAAAGCTTATGGATGCAAAATCAAAGCAGGAAACATTTTCTGCTCTCCAGATGCTTGCATCTTGGAAGACCTTTTCAGAGTTGGAGCCTAGAATGTTAGTGTAGTTTCTCAGATTCTTTTTACCCACCAATCGCTTTAGTTTATTGAGAGCACGAACAATTAATTATATCCATTTTGAGCAACTGTACAAATAATGCGAAGAAATGGGAAGTGGAAGTATTCGGTTTTAAATGTTATCACAAAACGGAGGATGATGTGCAAATGCGTACGGTGTATACAGAATAGGTTTTCTTTTTTTTTGGTGTGTGTGTGGGATGTTCTAGACTGGGAATCTAGTTTTTAGTGCCTGTCCTGGAACTAGCTCTTGTAGCAGTTTGGCTTGGAACTCACGGAGATCCGCCTGCCTCTGCCTCCCGAGTGCTGGGTTTAAAGGCCCGGGCAACCACTGCCTAGCCGTATTTGTGTATAGGGTGTGTTTGATACCGGCAAGGAACACACGAATCTCAGAATCCAACCAAAAAACAGGGGGAAAATGCCTTCGCTTTTAGCATGGGAGAACACTAGATCAGTCTTAAGCCCTACAGCTGCCTCAGATCGCCCAGCATCTTATTTAGACCCACAGCATCCTAGCTTAAAATGAGCCAAGACAGCTGCAGCCCCAGCCCTCACAGTCTGCGCGCGCCACCGGAAGTCCCGTTCACTGTCGGTGCTTGTAGCCAACCGTGTGGAGGCCGGAAATGACGACACTGACGAGGCCTTTAGGGCGGGGCCTAGGACGACCTGCTCTGCCAGCCGAGAGTTCTCGTCGGAAACAAAACAGCAGTAGCAGAGACCGAAACCTCCGGTGCGAGCCGGCCACCTGGGCGCGGAGAGAGAAGGTGAGTTTCCGGGTTGTGCCGGACGGACGGTGTCTGCCAGCTGCGATCGCTCGTTCTTGCCGAGGGCCGAGGGCCTGAGCCTCTACGGGCCCCGCAGCGGGCGTCCTCGAGGATGAGGGGCGGGGTCCAGCCGGGCGGAGACCGAGGAACCCCGCACGGGAAACGAGGTCGGCCAGTTTGTCGGGGCCCGGCCAGGCTAAGAGTGACCCCCTCCGAGCGTTGGTCCGGAAGTGCTGGCTTTCCCGGGCGTCCCGGAGCAGGTGGCTGCCGTCGGGGGTGGCCGGCTGTACGGGAGTGGAGCCGGAGGTAGAGGAAGCGCCCTAGGCTGGGTCGGCTTGAGCAACTGGTGAGACTCCCAGTCTCGTGTCTCCAGTGTGTCCTAGTTCAGAAGTGAGTGGCACCCAGGGCTAACTTCTCAGTGTCTCCATTGCCAGGTAGAGAGTCGTATCGCCGGTGCTTGTTCCTTCATCAGAGCTGTTAAGGTGCATGTTCATGCCCGACTCTTGTAGGCGTCTTTAGTGCTTCCTTTTCTTCCTTTTCACGTTTTCAGATGTGACACTGCGGTGGACAGAGGTTGCTACAGGCACATCTGTCTGGTAGTGAGACTGGAGTGCATAAGAGAATTTAGGTGACTTTTATGTAATTAGGAGAGATGAGAGTTACAGTAACGGGAATGTCTACGGGAGAAACGTTAGCAGGACAAGCGATCGGCTCAGCCAAAGTATGAGACTGAGTTCAAGAATGAGAGAGAAATGAGGAAGTTAGGAAGTGGTTTGAAAATACCACTTTTGAAATGTCAGCGGGTGAAGATGGCCTGAGGTTAGAACTGTAGGCATGGGTCACTTAGGTAGATTTGCTGCTTGATGTTTGAGTAGCTAACTGGGTGACAGGAGCTCACAAAGAGCCAGGTGGAAGGAGGGTAAGGAGGCAGCTGAGGATGAGTGTAGAGCCACAATAGTGCAGTGTCACAGAAGCCAGAAGGCAGGGTGGCTTGAGGTTGAGAAAGCTTTGTCAGCGACTTGGAATGAAAGGGTGTTGTAGAAGTATCTGAAAATCGGAGTCGCATTGTGCCGCTGAAAGAGGAAGGTGAACCATAGATAGTAGTTTCAAGTGTGCCAACAGACATGTTTGTAAAGGTTACAGGAAGCAGGTGAAATTCGTTTTAATGATTTGATAACCAGTATAGCTAGCAGTTATATTTTAGCATGTAATCATTATAAAGATGAACTTGTCTTCTCTGCTAGATCTTAACTGAAAATAAAAAAAAAAACACCAATATCTGATTTCTAAAGTATCCCAGGCACATGTCACAATGTTTTGTTGTGTAAAAGAAACCGAGTTCCTCTTTGATGCTGGAAGAATTCTTGTTTGGTTTTTCATAATGCCTTGCCCAGTTCCTGGTTTAAGTTGAGTAAAAGCAGAAGAATTTAGGCAATGATAAATATCAGAAGCTTACAAGCTAATTAGATGTAAATAATCATCTTTAATGAAAAATTAGTTGTATTCTATCCATTTCCACAGAAGGTTGAGACAGTGACTCACAATAATCATAACTTCATTACAGAGTTATTAAAATGTAAAAGAATAGAAAATAAAAATATTAAAATAACATTGGGGGAAAGAGTCTTTCTAGTTGCCAGATATGGTGGCATGCGTTTGGAGTCCCAGTTAGTTGGAAGGCTGAGCAAGAAAACCAAGGCCAGCCTTGATGAGAGAGAGACAGTGAGTGAATGAGATGAGATGAGTCCTATGTGATCTGAACCTATTAGAGTCTGTAGTCTACTTATAGGCTGTGTAGGTAGATAGGACTATAGTACAGTGTGTGTGAGAAAACTTTGTAGACTCTCATTGTGTGGGTGTGTGTATATGTGCACACGTGTACTTTATATGCAAAGCTACAGAGTCTTTGTCTATATATGTGGGTGCATGCATCCATGCTTGCAAATGCAGAGGCCAGAGAAGGACATTGGATGTTTTTCTCTATTATTAGCACCTTATTTTAAAAAAAACAACGTTATATTTTATTATGTTTTTGTATGCAGGGTTGGGGGATGGTGGTGATGGTGGTGGCATGGTGTATGTGCAGAAGTTTGAAATGAGTTCTCCTTCCATCTTTAAGTTGGTACTGGTACAAGTCTCTAAGCTTGTGGGGCAAGTACCTTTACTTCCTGAGCCATCTCCATAGCCCCTTATTTTTTTTTTAACTTAATTGTTTTGTTTTGTTTTTTTGAACAAGGGTCATTCTATATAGCTCTGGGTATCCTGGAACTCACTATCTAGACCAGGCTGGCCTCAAGCTCACAAGTTTTAGATCTGCTGGAACTAAAGGAATGCTTCCCCACATCCAGTTTAGTTTTTGAAAACTTAATTATGTGTGTGTATCCATAATGGGGATCCTAATGCTGTGATACAAAGGAATCATTCTTGTTTACATTATGTGGGTTCTGAGCATGGAATTAAGGTTTTCAGATATATGCAGCAAGTGCTCATTAGCCCTGTACCTTATTTTGTAAGCCAGGGTTCCTTTACTGCACCTGAAGGTATTTCAGCTAGAGGGCTGGCGGCCATCAATCTCCTGGGATCCTCGTCTCTACCCCCAGTGCTGGGATTACAGGCATAATAGCTTTGCCTGGCTTTTCTGTGGTACTAGGAATTTGAGCCCCAGTCCTCTTATTTTCACAGTAAATGCTTTTACCCACTGAGCCATCTGCCCAGATTCTATATACTGCCTTATACACTTTGAGACTGTATGTTGGTTTCACTGTAGACCTAGATTTGACTTCTGTGATTCCAAGGCTTTTGGAAGTACTATCAAGCATATATTTGTATCACATTGCCTTTACAAAATCCAGAAAACAGCTATATTCTAATACGTTTAATCCTGAAGGTTTGACCAAGAAATCCTCAGCTGATTTTAGCTCATCTTCATTGCATCTTCTGAGCCAGCCAACATTACCACTTTTAAAACAAGCTGCAGCAGGCCGTGTCCATAGCAGCCCTCCTTCAGAGCTAACAGCCCAGAGCACATAGATCTCCTTAAGGCTCTGCTTCAAGGTGGAAGTGTGGGGCAGCTTCTTTGATTTGAGCATCTTCTTATGGGGCCTAGGTGGGGAGGGCAAGGAGTACCAATCCATGCTAGTGTCTCTCTCAAGGCAGTGTCGAATGTATAAAAGGCAGGGGCCAACTGCACAAGCGTAGCTCACATTTTTGCCAGTGTCAGTCAACTAAGATTATATTGACAAAGACACATAGGATTTCACCTAACGGCTTAGAAGGTAGATAATGAACTTCACCCATCATGAGGCCAAAGAGACATTGGTTCCAGGACCACTAGATTCCAAAATTTAAGGATGCTCCAGTTCAGTCCTTATATAAAACTGGGGCAAGAACTGGGTATTTGGGGCGAGAATGTAGTCATGTACAGAGACCTACACTGGATCCCTAGCACTGAAGAAAAAAATCTGAACAAAAATACATTTGTTACTTATAATCTATACACATAAATCCTCTCGTATACTTTAAATTATTTCCCCATTAGAATATCTAATAACACATAATTGTTACACTGTGTTGGTTAAGGAAGAGCAAAGAAAACTACATGCCACATATTTTCAGTCTTTAGTTGGTTGAATCTGAGAATCCTGAACCAGAAGACATGAAGGCTAACCATTCTTCTCTTGGGGACTGGGGGAAGAGAGAATATTTACTGAATAATAATTTTATCTACCACAGATGGTTCTCAGAGGTGGAGTGGGATGGGAAGAGGGAAAAACACACACTCAATAAGATGCATCACCACCCTTGCTCTTTTTAGTTCTGTCTCTTTCAGATCTCTTGGAGGGCGGGGGAAATGATTTTCTCTCTGTACCTTAAAAATTAAGAGTCTGTCTTGGCTATTCCTAAATTAAGGGATTTTTATTTCAGTTATAGAATACAGTTTAGAATTTGGTTACATTTATTATTGAATGTGAGCCTTCAGAAACTCAAGTAGAACCAGGTTTGATAGTAAACACTTGTAATCCTAGCACATGGGAGTTGGAAGCAGGAGGACCTCAAGGTCAAGCATTTTGAGCAAGACCCTGTTTAAATAAATATGTAAATGACAGGGTATGCCTTAATCCCAGCACCCAGGAGTTTGAGGTCAGCCTGATCCACATAGCTGAGTACAGGCCAGGAGGCAGGCTACATAGTGAAACCCTGTCCCAGACAACCAACCAACCAAGGGGTTCCCACCAACCAAAATAAACAAATCAAAACAGGAGTCAGCGTTTGGGCTGCCTATCAAGGAGCAGCTGTCAAAATGACAAGTAGAAGATAGAGTGGGGAAAGTGTGTATGTGGGGGGGGATTGCGGGGGGAACAGCCAAAGTGCCCGTTTGTGCAGCCTGTTGGTCAGTTGTGAAACTCTGGCCCCAACTTTTGTGAGAAAGCTTTAATTTTTTTTAACAGCCAGCCTTGGGCTCACAGGACGTCCATCAGTCTCAAAAAGGAGGTAGATATGTGATAATAACAACAAAAAGATTGCTCTTGATAATTCTTGTCCCCTTGGGGTCAGATATCACTTTATGAGGTTAAAAAGGCCACCTTACCTTGAATATGCCATCCACCTCAAATATGCATCATAAAATCTGTAGCTCAGAACCCACTCACGTTCTGCTCCTTGTGCATTTTCTTGTAGCCTACTTGGGTCTCTCTTTAGAGTATATACATTGCTAAATAAGCTTTTGCTTAGATTATGTATGTGTGTAGACTGAACCCTCCCTCCCCGTTAAGAAACAAGACCCTCACTTTAGGCCATGGCAAGATGTATGCGGATACTGCACCTTTGTTTCCCGGCCACCCAGACCTAAATGATCACACAGAAACTATATTAATTACAACACTCTTTGGCCTATGGCTCAGGTGTATTTTTTGCTAGCTCTTACATCTTAAATTAACCCATTTCTATTAATCTTTGTATCACCACGAGGCTGTGGCTGGAACAGTAACGTTCCAGCATTTTTCTCCTTGGGCAAGCTATATGGCATTTCCCTGACTCCTGAACTTCTGATTCTCCTGCCTGCATTCTTCTAAGTATTGGAATTAGAAATGTTCAAACCCATATCTGGCTTATGTGTATGGAGACTGAACCCAGGAATTGGTTTGTGCTAGGCAAGTACTCTAGGAACACACTACCTCTCTAGCCCTGTGGCTGCTTCCTTGAGTGGGATTTTCTCTTAGGAACCTATCCTGAAACTTGAAACATTGCTCCTGAGATGTGTTTGAAGTTTTAGTTTATAGAGGTTTCTAGTTGGATAGAAACTTTATTTTTTTCCTCATATGTGGTATGTGGATGTTTGCATATTTTGTTGTATGCCCGAGACTGATTTCTGGACCTTTTCTAGATCACTTTCCACCTTATTCTCTGAGACATAGTCTCCATCAAACCCAGAGCTCACTGATATAGCTAGTTTGGCTAGGGAGCTTGCTTTGGGAATGTCCAGTCTTTGCCTCCTGTGTGCTGGGATTAGAGCTGAGCTGCCAGACTCACCTACCCAGTACTGAAGTAGGTCTTTTTTTTTTTAATTTATTTATTATGTATATAGTGTTCTGGGCACCAGATCTCATTATAGATGGGTGTGTGTCATCATGTGGTTGCTGGGAATTGAACTCAGGACCTCCGGAACAGCAGTCAGTCTCTTAACCTCTGAGCCATCTCTCCAGCCCTGAAGTGGGTCTTGCCATCCCACAGCAAGCACTCTCACCCTGAACCATCTCCCCAGACCCTGCATAGACGTTTCTGCGGATCATGTCTGAGCTCCGAGGTTATTCATAGTTCTGGGACTTTTCCCCTTTGTATATCTGCCTTGTTTTCCCTAGTACTAGGGATGGGCCCCAGGGTCTGCACATACTAGGAAGCAGATCTGCGTCCCACTTGTTAGTGTCTTTGTCTGATAGAAATTGTAGTTGCTCTTCAGAACAATGATCGCTTTTTCCTTTGTCTGACTGCCTGAGTTGTGCTAGGAACAAGCCCAAAGCAGAGGGTAAAGTATTTGCTAGATCAGAATTGATGAGAAGGTCTAGTAAAGAAAATATACTGTGGACAGAACTATGGGGGGACGGTCCATGAACGGGAACAGGATCCTTTTATAGTAGTCAAAAGACTGATTACCTGGCCTTACCTCCTGAGCCATTTGTATGGGATCCACTTTGAGTACTTCTGTATTCAAAATTTACTTGAAAATGTACTAAAGTCCTTGCAGGCTGGCCATGTCAGGTAAGGCACTCTGATAATTAGGTCAGCAGCACAGGCTCCATAGGTAGGATCTGATTGGTAGTGAGGGGTTTTGCTCTTTTACTTTTGGTCCTTTGATTTCGGCGCTTTGTCTGATAGAAAGGAAGTAGATGGCAGTGAAGAGCTTCAGTGTGTCTGTTCTCAGCAGTGTCCAGAGTGGAAAGCACCAAGATCTACGTCCCTTCTCCCTTGCAATGCAGGTCCCTTCCCTGCTACTGGCTTTTGGTGTTCACATCTCTCAGCTGAGAAGGTTATCAGATTTGCAAGTACCTTCTGCCATGCTGCCTGAACCATGGGGTCATCATTGACCTTTTCCATCACTCTCTTCAGCTGTTCTGGATCAAAATCAACTCGGTTTTGGCCTACCCCTTTCTTTGTAGCAGCAGTGTGTGTCTGTTCCCCTGCCGTGGCATGGCCTGCTTCTGCTTTGGGGCTCCTTCTGAAGACAGTTCTATCAGGGATGCTCTTTTATGCCCTGTGATCTTCAGAGCTTCGGGGGAGGCCTGTGATTTCTCTAGGTGACCATCCCTTTGCCGTAGACTGAGGTGCTTGTTGTGTGGGACATGTAAATGCAGAGTCTTGGGCCCAATTTTTGTCTTTTTTGTTTTTGTCTTTTTTGGAAGGACAGGCAAGGAAGGTTTTTTGAAAGGGAGAGAAAGAGCTCCCTGGAATAGGAGTGGAGGGTGGAGGATTAAAGAGAGAACTGTCCCTTCATGAGAATTTTTATTATTTTCAGAAATTTTTGTAGATTTATGTGTATAAGTGTTTTGCCTGTGTATAAATATGTGCATATCTGTGTGCCTGGTGTCTGTGGAGGTCAAAAGAAGACATCAGCTATCCGGAAACAGGAGTGATGAATGGTTTTGAGCCACTGTATGGGAGCAGGGAAAGAAACCTCAGTCCTCTGCAAGAGCAGCAGCATGTGCCCCTTAACCACCGCACCAACTCTGTGCCCTCAGGGAACTTTTCTACCCCATTTATTTATTTTTATTTTATGTGTATTGGTGTTTTGCCTGCATGTATGTCTGTGTGAGGGTGTCAGGCTCCTGGAACTAGAGTTACAGACAGTTGTGAGCCGCCATGTGGGTGCTGGGAATTGAACTGGGGTCCGCTGGAAGAACAGCCAGGGCTTTTAACCACTGAGCCATCTCTCCAGCCCCCCATGGGGACTTTCAAAGAATCAAATGGAATATGATTATGAAAAGAACTTTGAAAATAGCATTGGGAATATGCGGAAGTAGTGGCTATGTTATTATTGATGGTTCTTACAAGATATGTCTGCGAGAGCTCCAGTATGGCTTCTTCTAATGGTTAAACAGACTGTGTAAGTATTAAAGAAACAAGTAAAAAGGGCAGTCCTTTATAAAAATAAATGCTAGGACTGTCTGTGGAAAATACTTTAAATATCTCAGGTTTCACTTTATACTAAAAGCAGTTGCTGATGTTAGGGATCTTGTTTACTTGTGAGCAGTAGTATTGCTAGTGGTAAAAATGAGTTTCACAAGCCTTGAGTGGTGGTGCACGCCTTTAATCCCATCACTCTGGGGCAGAGGCCTGCGGAGGGCAGCCTGGTCTGCAGATCGAATTTCAAGATAGCCAGAGCTATATAGTGAGACCTCATCTCAAAAAACCAAAAATGAGTTTAATATAACCTAGTCTGAATTGCTGTAAAGCCTTAGGCAAGGACAGTGTACTATATGTGGGTTTGGATGCCTTTGTTTACCAGATGAGATCTTGGTTGAGATAGTTGACTTCTTCTTGGTACATTCCCCCCCCCCTTTTTTTTAGAGACAGGGTCTTATTATACAGGCTAGGCTGGCATCAAACTCTGAGAGATTTGCTTCCTGAGTGCTGGAATTAAAGTATTGTGTTACCTCACCCAGCTATTTGATTTGATCGTAAATGAGTGGATAAGGTGAATAACTAATTAGATGTTTTTACTTTCTGTTTAAATTTTGCATGGAAGGAAGGAGACAGATAAACATAAAAGAGATCCTTCAGTGACTAGAAATTTGCCATGAGAAGGCTGGGGTGTGGGTTGGTAGAAGGCTTGTCTAACATGAGTGAGACCTTGGGTTCCATTCCCAGGAGCCTCCCTCTCTTAGAAAAGCTATTTGTTGGGGATAGAGAGACGGGTCAGTGGTTAAAGGGTGCATTCTGCTCTTGGAGAGGACCCAGGTTTGTTTCCCAGCTCTTAACCCAGGGCCTCGAAGCACTGTGCCACTGAAGTCAGCGCCCATCCCTTCTTCTGCTTGTATAAATGGCTGCCATGTGGGGTGAAATGAGACGGCTAGAGAAGGGTTGTGAAGTGAGAGAGCTAGGCATGTATGGTATGAAGATGGAAAATTTAGTTTAGAGTTGTCAGTACAGAAAGGAAATTTGAACCCGTGGTGATACACACCTTTAATCCCAGCACCCAAGAAGCCTCAGATATAGGCAGATCTCTGAGTTCAAGGCCAGCCTGATCTACGATCCAGGACAGCCAGTGTTAAACAGAGAAACCCTGCCCCCCCCCCCAAAAAAAAGGCAAAATCAACAATAAGAAAAAAAGAAATTCGAGACCATCTCTTAAAATCACGTGACTTCTTGGTTTGGAGTTAAAAAGTATCTCAGTGCTTGTGGTCTTATTGCCATACTTCTCCCTAACACAGTGAATCTGTCAGCTAAAAGTCACACATAGCAAGTTAACACATTTCTTCTGACTTGCAAATGTTTGAGTGGATTTGACTAATTATGAGTAACGTGGTAAAATCCTATTTCATACTAATCCAGGAGTCAACACGTGACAGAAGCCCTTCAAGGTCCTTAAGCAGCTCGGCCTGGAAGAGAACACATGAGAGAAAGGTTTGTTTTTACAGAATGTAATTCATGAGAGTGTTTACAAACAAGTGAGTAATCTTAACAGCTTGAAGTTCTGCCTTGTTTTTCCCTTTTCAGAATCCCAAGAGGCTCTGTTTTCCTTGAAAGGGTATTTCTCTACAGTTGCTCCAATGACAGACATACCTGCACCCTTGTCCTACTTCCAGAATGCACAGATGTCTGAGGACAGCCACTCCAACAGCACCGTCCGTAACCAGGTACCGTGTGGGCTCCTGAAGCTTCCCCACCACCCTCATCATGCGCCTCTGGAAGGTGCTGAGCCTGGGCAGTTTTGTTCTACTTTGGACATTTTCATTCACTGAATTCATTTGGGGTGAATGGGGCCCCAAAACTACTTTTGTTTTACTTTCTTGTGCTGGGAACTTATCCTAGTGTACTGAGCTGCTCCCCCAGCCCATAAGGCTGTTACCACATGAGTGTTGATGCAGGTCCTACTGGCCTCATCACCTCAGCTGAGACTTTCTTCAGCTTCCTGAGGTATGAGGACCTCATGGTCCACATTATTTGTCATGATCTTACTCTTCTACAGGAAGAAGGGATACATTTTATTAAGTTTTCTAGTTTCTGGGCCAGTTTCTGGAAGTGTTCAGTATTTAGTGACAGTGATTATACAAGGTCATCAAAGGTCTGAGTTCAGGATAGGATGGGGTACATGGTACAGTACACACACTCTTCACAGACTACATGCACACACAGGAATCTGTCTGTTGTGACCCTGTTAGTAAGCCAGTGCTGACCAAGTACAGACTCCATAGTAGGCCTGTGAAGTGACTAGGGAGTGGTGGAGCTTCCTGAGATATAACTAGGGTGGAGGAAACCTTGACACGGGCAGTCTAAGTTCTGTAAGGCTGGCTTTGGGGAATTGTGTATACTTGTTATTGAAATTTGTCATTAAAGGCAAGTCTCAGATGAGTATGAGGGACCTGGAGAGGTGGCTTAGGGGTTCAGAGCAATTCCTGCTCTTTCAGAGGATCCTGCATCTCCATGGGTGGCTCACAACTGCCTGTTAACTCCAGCTCCAGAGGATCTGATACCCTCTTCCGGTCTCTGAGAGTACCTGTGTGTGTGCGCGTGCACGTCTATACATGCACGCATGCACATACACTAATAGACTCAAGATTTTCTTTGTGTTCTTTGTAACCCTGTTAGCTAATCACTGCTGACCGAGTGCAGACTTCGCAATAGGCCTGAAGATTTAGGATTCCTGACTTTCTCATCAGTAGAGCTAGATGATTTGCTGACTAGTCTAAGTTATTGTATAACTTAAAATGTTTTGATAGCACAAGGAGTTTGGGTAGCCCAACACTAGAGAGTAGGACTTCAAGTTTTAAAACTCTTACTACAGTCCTGAACAAATAGGTTCAGGATTGAACTGGTTACTCTTCCCACAGTATCCTGAATTGAAGTCATTTTGGAAAAGGCAATTCTTTACAGTCTGCTAGCTGATGTTCTTGTCTAAGTTTAAGCACCATTATCTGTTGTTAGGTAACATAATTGGACATAACATGTAAAAAACATTCCTTGTTCCAGATGTCTTAGCATAACCTCTTTTATTTAATTATTTTTATTTTATGTGCATTTGTGTTTTACCATGGATGTTGGCTCCCCTGGAACTGGAGTTACACAATTGTGAACTGCCATGTGGCTGTTGGAAGAGCAGTCAGTGCTCTTAGCCACTGAGCCTTCTCTCCAGCCCTAGTGTAACCTCTATGACAGAGGCAATGATGGGCTGTAGGAGTCCCAAAATACATTTTCATCTTGTGGACTGCTATGTATAATCTTATTTATAGTGAAGGGACTTTATGTTGGATAAGAGTCACTATTTTTTTAATATTTATTTATTTATTATGTATACAATATTCTGTCTACAGGCCAGAAGAGGGCACCAGACCTCATTACAGATGGTTGTGAGCCACCATGTGGTTGCTGGGAATTGAACTCGGGACCTTTGGAAGAGCAGGCAATGCTCTCAACCACTGAGCCATCTCTCCAGCCCAAGAGTCACTTTTTTTAAAGTCTAAATATTTATAAAAAATTTTATTGTATAATGTTCTAAGCATCTAGAGTAGAGTAGTGGTTTTCAACCTTCCTAATGCTGTAACCATTTAATATAGTGGGAACCCCCAACCATAAAATTATTGTTGTTGCTGCTTCATAACTGTAATTTTGCTACTGTTATGAATCATAATGTAAATATTTAATATATAGGATATCTGATGTACAACTCCAAAGGAGTTGTAACCCACAGGTTGAGAAGCACTAATCTATTTTTGGTTGTGAGTTTAGCCTTTAACGGCTGAGCCATCTCTCCAGCCTGAGAAGCACTAATCTAAAGCATAGTAAATAAGTAACCAACTTTATTAAAGTTAGAGGCTGTATTATTTGACATGTACTTCTTATTTGTAAAGGCAGTTAAGATTTTTCTATTCTATGTTTGTTGACCGAGGTTTCTGTCCCGCCTGGTCCTGCAGCCGTTCAGTTCCAAAGAAACACACAGAGGTCTACATTAATCATAAACTGGTTGGCCTAATAGCTTAGGCTTCTTGTTAACTAATTCTTACATCTTAAATTAGCCCATAATTCTTATCTGTGTTAGCCATGTGGTTTGGTACCTTTATCAGTGAGGCATTCTCATCTTGCTTCCTCTGCAACTGGGTCACGACTGCAGACTGACTCTCTCCTCTTCCCAGAATTCTCCTGTTTCGTTGCCCTACTTCTGCTTCCTGCCTGGCTACTGGCTAATCAGCGTTTTATTAAAATACAAATCTTTACAAAGTACAAGACCATTGTCCCACAGTATATGTCTCTTGAAAACAACAACAAAAATGCGTTTCTGTGATGTGGCAGTTCAAATCCAGATATTTGTACATGCTATGCAAGTACTCTACATACACCCCAGCACCTGTTTCTATTTATTGATCCTAAATTCAATGAAACCATAACCAAATAAACTAGATCTCTACATTTAATTTGGAAAGAGACACTAGTTTTGTGGGAAAAGAAACAATATAGAAAAAAAATTGAAGTACCTCTTCCCCATCCCACCCTCTTTTCTTAGGAGTTACTCTTCTAAATTTGGCTCTTTTAACATGTTTACTATAAATAGCAACAAAGACAGATTTTTGCAACTGTACATGAATCAGCCCGATCTCCTTTGTTCTCTTTTGTGGATATATAAAAACTTGGTTTACAAATGTTTGGTAGTTCCCAGTTTCTCAGCATACTGAGCAGATCTGTTGCCTGTGGTGGAGGCTTGAGAGGTCTCAGAGATAGAGACCAGATTGAGATCTCTGTCCAGTGTTGCTCAGCTATGAGACAGTGAGTGGAGAACTGAAAAAAAGTTCTGTTCTAGCGCAGTAGTGCACTTGGAGTGTGTAGGCTTTTCAGGAGAGTTCTGGGTGGTTTATTTCACAGGTGAGCCTTAATGGAAGGGCTAAATGGGGGGTTGTCCAGATAGGAATCCAAGTAGGTTGGGGTTTCTTCCTCTGTAGGGTTTCTTACCCTTTTTTGTCATTACAAAGTTTTTCATGTGTCATGGAAATAGATGCATGATGGGAACAACCAATTTTGCAAGGCTAAATGAATGAAAATTCATTCTAAAAAAGCAAAGTCTGGGTTGGCTATGCTGGTCCCAACCAATTTGAACAGTGATATGGTAAGATAAAACACAGCTCTGTGGTTGCATTAGCCTCTAAACCACCAGCAGTTTGCCTGTCCTTTTTCCCTATGCCATTATAGCCTATCTCAGATCTGCCATTTTTAGTAGAATAACTAGCGTGACCTGTCACAGGAGTCCAGTGGAGATTTCATGGTTTCCCCATTACACACACATACACACACACACCCTACTTTACTGCCTTCTGTCAGCTTACCCATACTGCCTCAGTGTGGACATGACTTTCATGTTTGTTGATGCCATTGATTGGCTCTGTGTGTATGGACTGGAGACTAAAAGGTGGTGTAATTAAATAATGGTTCATCTATTTCTGAAAAATGCAAGGTTTAAAAAGCAATAAATAACCATAGCCCTTTGTGTTCTAAATTACCATTTAAATTAGGTATGCAAGAAGCTCTAATAAGAGCCCTGGGTCTTTGGCTGTAGTTGGAGAAACAGTAGTAATTACCTTGTTGTTCTCTGCAGTGCAGTCCTGTGATGCAGTCAAGGCTGGCTTCAGCCTTCCCAGTTTTCCTAAATGCAGGGATAATAGATATTCATCACCATACCCGACTCTTCTTTTATACTCTTTTTTGAAATATTTTAATATTAGTATTTTTTGTATGTAATAAATGTACCACTTTTGTCAATGATGGCAGTAGTGGAAGAGGCTGGGAGAATGTGTGAAAACTTTACCCAACGTCCTCCATTCTTGTTTCTGTTTTGTTCAGAGACAGTGTTTCTCTGTGTAGTCCTCGCTGTCCTGGAACTCCCTTTGTCGACCAGGTTGGTCTCCAGCTCATAGAAATCCGCCTGTCTCTGCCTCCCGAGTGCTGAGATTAAAGACATGTGCCACCATTGCCTGGCTCTGCCCAATAATCTTTTGAACTAAAACTGCTAATTGTATATTGAAAGGAAGACATGGACTATCACCACACATGAAGGAAGCCTTTGAAGTTTTTATTGTTTAGAAATACAGAAGTGTTTGTGATGGGAATGAGATTTGTTTCCATAGTTAGGAAGAATCAAAGTAGGTAACGTGTGGGAGAAAAGATGAATCATTATCTGTTTTTCACTTAGGGCTTTATTATTGTATATTTCTGACACTGTTTAACTTTTTCCAGTAGTGATACACACCTTTAATCCCAGCACCTGGGAGGCAGAGGTGGGCAGATCTCTGAGTTTGAGGCCAGTCTGGTCACAAAGCGAGTTCGAGTTCCAGGATGGCCAGAACTGTAACTCAGAGAAACCCTATCTCGTACCTCCACCCCCAGCCACTGCCCCCCCCCAAAATTGCCCTTAAAGAAAAGTTTATTTCTTGCTCTTTTTTGTTTGTTTTAAAGACAGGATCTCTAGTAACCACGGCTGTCCTGGAACCTGTCATGTAGCCCAGGCTAGCCTTTAATTTACCATCTTCTTTCCTTAGCCTCCCATGTGTTCAGATATAGGCATATGGCACCATGTCTAGTGAAAACCTTTCTTTTCTTTTCTTTTCTTTTCTTTTCTTTTCTTTTTTCTCTTAAAATAGCGCTGTGTCTATGT